AGGGGGAGGGGGAGGGGAGGGGGAGGGGGAGGGGGAGGGGGAGGGGGGGGAGGGGGAGGGGGAGGGGGGGAGGAGGAGGGGGGGGGGGAGGGGGAGGGGGAGGAGGAGGAGGGGGGAGGACGAGGGGGGGAGGAGGGGGAAGGTGGACGGCGAGGGGCCCCCCACTTCATTCCTCCCTTCATCGGCTGCTCGGCTCTCCCTCTTCTCCCTTCCCTTCCCTCTCGCTGCTCGCTCCCTCTCGCCTCTCCGCAACCCCCCTGCCGTGGCACGAGGGAGCGCACGTGCCACGCTGTTCCTGTCTTCTCCCCTGTCGCCTCGTCGTTCGTTCCCCCCCAAGTGCTCGTGCCCTCGCTCGTCGTCGTTGTCGTCCTCCTCCTCCTCCGAATCTCGTGGTGCCAGTCAGGGGCTATCCCTGAGCCGCCGACGCCTGGCCACTGAGGGTGCACGCCCCGCCTGTTTTTAATCGACTCTGCGGTCGTTGCCGCGTCGTCGGACACGTATGAGGTGTGTGTGTGTGTGTGTGTGTGTGTGTGTGAGTGTTTGTGTGTGAGAGAGAGTATTCCTCCCATCTCCTCTCCGCTCCCCCTCCCCACCCCTCTCCCTCCTCCTCGTCGTCCTCCTCCTCGTCCTCCTCGCCTTCTCCTCCTAATCTCGGCGGCGCGCTGAGGGGGGAAGTGAGAGGAGAAGGCCTTCTCAGAAGGCGGCGGGACTTCTCAGAAACCCTCGCGCCTTCAGAGAAGTTTCCTGTGTCGTCGGGGAAGGCTCAGAACACTTCTCCGAAGGCCGGGGGGCTTCCAAGCCTTCCGAGCCTTTTCAGAAGGCCCGCCCCTTCTCTCTTCCCCTCAGGCTCGCCGCCGATAATCCTCCTCCTCCTCCTCCTCCTCCTCTTGCTGCTCCTCCTCCTCCTCCTCCTCCTCCTCCTCCTCCTCTTGCTCCTACTCCTCCTCCCCATCCTCTATCCCATTGGGGTCAAGAGACTGGCTGACGGCCATCGGAGGAGGGGGGGGGCGCCTGACGGATCGCCTCTGGGACGCGGCACGAAGTCCTGCCCGCCCTTTTCTGCTTCTGCTCCGGACCCTGCTCCTGCTCCTGCTCTTGCTGCTGCTGCTTCTCCTCGCGCTCTCCCCTTGGATGCTCGTCTCGAGGACCTTCCTGAGGCCCCTCCAACGGACCTGTTCGACTCCAGTTCGACTCTAGCTCGACTCCAGCTCGACTCAAGGTCGACTCGAGTCGACGGACGTTCGACGCGGCCTTGGCGCCTGAGTGGAGCGCGCGGCTCCAGGCATGTGCCCAGAACGAGCATCTAACTCCCCCTCCCCCTGCCCCTCTCCGTTCTCCGCCTGTCAGGGCGACATGTATATATATATATATATATATATATCTATTTATCTAAGTATTGCCATTTTGCTGCTGTTGTCCTAAGTTTCTTCACCCTCTGGAGGTCCACAGCGACCCCCAGGCAGCGTTTCGGTTCCAGACGATCCCTCAAGCCGTGTCGACCAACCGACCTCTCGCCCCCCCCGCGTTCTCCTCGTCCTCGCCCCCTCTTCCTCCGGGATGTGCAGGAAGTACTGCGCCCCCGAGTACCTCACCGGGAAGGACAAGTACTTCTGCGAGCGCTGCAAGAGGACGCCGCCTTCGGCCCGGCCTGGCGCCCACTGGGCTCCATCTGCCGACGTGGCTTTCCTCAATTTCGGGACGGATGACGATGAGGGTGAAGATGAGTTGGATGATTCTGCTGCTGATGATGGTGGTGGTGGTGATGATGATGATGCTGATGCTGATGCTGATGCTGATTATGATGATGATGATGCTGATGATGATACTGATGATGCTGATGCTTATGATGATGCTGATGCAGATGCTGCTGTTGATCATGATGATGCTGCTGATGATGATGCAGATGATGACCATGTCGATGATACCGATGTTGATAACGATACTTTTGTTGATGATGCCGATGCTGCCGATGATGATAAGTCTGATAATGGCGACGGTGATGATGAGGATGATGACGGTAGTGCGCATGATTATGGTGGCCACGACGATGCTGATGCTGACTGTGATGCTGCTGCTGTTTATTATGCAGATGATTATGATCCTGACGATGATGATGATGATGATGATGATGATGATGATGATGATGATGATGATGATGATGATGATGATGATGATGATGATGATGATGATGATGATGATGATGCTGTTTTCGCTGATGATGAGGAGGATGAGGAAGAGGCGGGGGAGGGGGATGATCAGCTTAAACCCAAGACGCATCAAGGATGTTGCACTGAGCCCTCCCTTCAAGTTCCTTCTTCACGGGTCCCTGCAATTATTTTTTCTCACTGCCAGAAATGCCTCATTGAACGACAACCGTCGGAGAATCCCCAATCGTGCCATTACACCATTCTTGGGACTTCAACACTGCAAATCAACGTGACTCCTGCGTCCTGACGATCCCAAACCGTGCCAGAATGCACTCCCTGGGACTTCGAGACCGCGAGTCAACGTGACTATTACGTCCTGGCAATCCCAAATCGTCCCAGAACCCTATTTCTGGGACGACAACCCTGCGAATCCTCGAAACTGCTGCAAACTTTGAAGGCGATTTCGGGCAGCGCTAAGGCGAGAGCAACATTTTGGAAAGGAACCGCCCTCCATCGTCCAAGCTATAGTGCACTTTTGAACCAACCGTGGGCTGCGCAAAGGCGAGAGCCACGTTTCGAAAACGGGCCGCCCTCCATCCTTACAAGCTGTTGCAGTTCTCAAGCTCTGGGATCATATATGGTGGGGGAGTCTCGGGCGAAACGCCCAGCCCGCCGCACCGACACGGATGGAGGTGCCACGGGGAGGAGTTATTCATAAAGGAAGAGGGCAGGAAGGAAGGAAGGCAGGAAGGAAGGGAGGAGGAGGGCCACCATGGCTAGGGCCGCGTGCCATTTTAGCTCTCCCCCCCCTCTCCATCCTTCTTGAGGTTCTGAGGTTGATAGTTTTTCTCCCGTCTCCTTCCCTTTCCATCGTGTCTGCTGTCTTCCGTCTTCCGAAAAGTGCGAAGGCCGTAGCTGTTTCTGATTACCGGCCCATCGCCAGCGTACGTTTTTTTTACAAGCTATTTGCATATTTAGTGTTGGTGAGCTTAGAGAGAAAGCTGGACAACCACCAACCTGAAGAACAACACGCTTTCTGGGCCGATTACCGTATCGAGGAACACCTCCTGACAGCAAACATGTTCTTGGACAAGACAAGGTCGGTTGGTGTACCAGTTTGGGCTGTGAGCTTGGATTTGTCGAAGGCTTTCGATCGTGTGGATTGGACTGCTCTGTGGTCGGCTTTGCGCGGGCACGGTATCTCCGACCACCTCATATGGATATTGCAGGTGCTTTACGAGAAACAGACCGGGCAGGTGAAAGGCGGCTCTCAACGCAGCGACCCTTTTGACATCCGAGCTGGAGTCCGACAGGGTTGCGTTCTCAGCCCAAGGCTCTTTTGTTGTTTGATGGAGTGGGCGATGGCCCGTTGGCGCTGGAAGTCCGGGGCAGCAGGGTTTGACCTGGGAGACGGATTGCGTCGATTATTGGATTTGCGGTTTGCTGACGACGTTGCATTTTCGCTAAATCGCAAAAAGAGGCTGCGAGTCTTCTGGCGTCGCTGGTTGAGGAGCTCGCCGCAGTTGGCCTGATGCTGAACGCCGACAAAGCTGCAGCCCTGACTACCGAGGCGCAACCGCCGGACAAGCTTTTGCTCCCCTCTGGTGTATGTATCAAGCGCGTGAACTCTCACAAATGGCTAGGATGCATTTTGTGGACCGACGTTGTGAAGCAAGACCAGGAATACCATCTTCAAGCTGCTGCAAGGGCTTTCTTCGCCATCCGGTGGATCCTCGCAGCAAAGCGTGTACCGGTTGAGCTGCGCTTGAACCATTTCCATGCCGTCATCACCCCGATTGCTATGTTTGGTTCTGCTCACCGCGTGGTCTATGCAGCCGAGCGGAAGAAGCTGGACGTTGCGTGTCGCAAGTTTCTTCGACAAGATGTCGGGCCGCCACGCGAGGTCGACTGGACCTGTCCATGGCATGAGATATTACATGTGTTGCACGATCGTGTTACCGATAAGTTGCAAGGCGCTCAGGCCAAACTTTGGTCGGAAGCACTGTTCCGCCAATGCTGGAACTTCGCCGGGTACGTTGCCAACCTGCCTGCAGACATATGGCTGTCACGCATGCTTGCATGGACACCTGCCGGAAGCAGGTCCCAAGGGAGACCGCGGAAGACGTGGGAGTGTGATGTCGAGTGCTTCTGCGACAAGTACGGGATCGGTGACTGGAGAGTAGCAGCCAAAAACCCACATTCTTGGAACTGTGTGACCGGAGATTTTCTTCACCACGTGAGCGCCTGCTAGTTTTCACCCGCCTGTGCCCTATGCGGCCGCCCCATCGCGGGCATACAGGCTTGACCTTGACCTCTGCTGTCATTTGCATCTCACGGTATCGAAGACGCCTACGGCGAGTCATCGCCGCCCCGTCTCTTTTCGGAAGCGCTTATGTGGCCGAGCGTTGAGGCTAGAGCCCTGCCAAGCTATCGGACCATGTGTTCCCCGAGTCGGTTGGTTCGCCTTCGGGGAACGCGTGGGGGAAGACGGGGGCGAGGAGGAGAGTGAGGAATGGGCGTGTTCGGGGTATTTAGGGGGTTATTGTGAGCTCTTAAAGGCGTCTTGGGGCCTGCTGGCCGAAGGTCGGGTCAGATCCTTGCCAATCTTTCGGAACGAGTGTTCCCCGACTCGGTTGGGGAGCTTTCGGGGAACACGTGGAGGAGGTTGGGGAAGAGGAGGAGGGTGAGGAAAAAAGGGAGGAAGAGTCCTCATGGGAACGGCTTGAGGCACTCTGGGGCTCAATTGGGCCATCTTGGCCGTCTTGGAGGCATCTTGAATTTCATCTTGGCCGTCTGGAGGCCATTTTAACCCTTTTGGGCTTTCCTGGAGGATGTCTTTAAGGGCTCTTGGGCTGTCTTGGGGCCTCTTGGGCTGTCATGGGGCCATCTTGGAGGCTTCTTGGGCGCTCTTGGGACGATGTTGGGGGCCTCTTGAGCCGTCTTGGGCCGTCGGAGAGCTGATAATAAGGAAATGCCAACGTCCTTCAAACACCTCAGGCAAATCTATGACTTTTGCCCTGTCGGGCCTTCCTGGAAGACGTCTTGGAGGCCTCTTGTGGGCCTCTTGGTCAGTCTTAGGCCATCTTGGAACCATCTTGGGCCGTCTTTGAGGCTTCTTGGACGAACTTGAAGGCATTTTGGACTCTCTCGGGCCGTCTTGGAAGCCATCGTGGACCATCTTTGGGGCGACTTGGAGGCCATCTTGTAGGCCATCTTGGGCCAACGTGGCCATCTTAGAGGCCATCTTGAGCCGCCTTGGAGAATTTGTTGTGGACGTTGGGGTGGTTTATGCTGCCTTGTGCGGCCTTTCGGATGGCTGGCGGGACGGGCCGAAGTCCCAGGGAGTTTTTCTAAACGAATCCAAGTCGAAAGTGTCTAGCACGCCGGGCGCCCCGGGGGCCTCTCGGAGGCAGGTTTGAGGCCTCTCGGGGGGCATTTTGGGGGGCGTGTTGGGGGCCTCTCTTTGGGCGGTGCTCGAGGGCGACGACGACCTGTTCACAGGCGACATAGTGTGCGACGGGTCGAAGCTCGGCTACAGTGAGTGGGCGCAAACGGGCTCGGCGACCATGCCACTCACAGACGAATGCAAGCCGAAGGTGCAGCTGTGGGGCCCGCTACCCTGTACGCTGCCAGTGCAGAGGCAGGTCGAGCGAGCGGAGATTTGGGTCTTCCTCAAAGTGCTCGAGAGTGTGCTCCCGCCTTGCAGGATCTACACGAACCACAAGGGCAGCATCGATGACCTGCAGCAGGGCGAAAGGTGGCGCACAAGCTGGAAGACGCCGCGCGCAGATCTGTGGCGGAGGATCTGGCACAAGGTGAAGGACATGGGCCTGGACGTTAGCATGGTGAACCACGTGGAGGTGTATAGGTCAAAGGCTAAGGTTGCGCAGTTGCAGGGTGACGAGCTCAAGATTGCGACGAGCAGCGGCGCCGTGGACTTGCCGGCAAAGGAGGGTGCGGCGCTGGACGCAAACTACGGGAAGCAGGCGCTGGACGAACTGGGCACAAGGGTGCGTTGGGCGGTGCAGGACATCGGTTGATGGTGCCAGGAGATGGGAGGCGAGTGGCCCGACGTCCCCAAACGAGTGCCAGGGAAGCCGCGGAGGAAGCTAGTCAAGCCGAAGCTGGCGCTGACGATGCACGAGGTGGTGACGGTCGGTAAGTGGCTCGTGTGCGAGAGGTGTGGCAAGAGAGCGGCATCCTACCGCATGCGCAAGAAGCTGTGGGAGTCGGTGTGCCAGCCGCCGCCGTGGAGGTCAACTGGGGTGCGAAGGACTGGAACCTCAGGGTCGCTCGAGACGTGCGTGGCCATAGCGGCGGTGGCGGCAGCGGCGGCTGGAGCTCAAAAGGGGGAGCGAGATGATGGCAAAGCGCTACCCGCGGAGCGAGAGCATCGAGTGGATGTGCACTGACCGTACGTTGTGTGCGTGACGTGCGGAACCCACCCGGCGACCAGGAGACCGGGGTTCGGGGCAGCCTGCCCAGGGCCTCTGGAGAAGAAGGGCAAGTCATCAAAGGACGAATCCAAGAGAAAGAAGAGGGACCGCATCCTGGCAGGGAAGCACCCCCGGACGGGCAAGCAGCTGCCTCATGACCCCGCCCTGCCAATGCAACGCGGCTAAGCATTGCGGGGCGGCGTCGAGGTGAAGCTGATGAAGTCGCGGGTCGCGGGTCGTGGAGACCTGAGTTCAGACCGCATTTTGCGGCGACGGGCCTTGTGGCGGGATCCGCTGGGGGCCTTGGGGATCAACAAAAAGCCTCTTGGGGACCTCTTGGGGGCCTCTTGAGGCCTCTGGGGCGCCTCTTCGGGTCCCCTGGGGGCCTCTTCGGGCGGAAAAGTCTGATTTTTGGTCCGTGCTCCCTCTCTTGGGCCCCTTTTGGTGCCCTCTTGGGCCGTCTTGGGCGCCTCTTGACCGCCTCTTGGGCGCCTCCTGGGCTGTCTTGGGGCGCTCCTAGGCCGTTCTGGGGCCCTCTTGGAGGCCTCTCGGGCCGTCTTGGGGTGGTCTTGGGGGCCTCTTGGCCGGCGTCGGGCGTCGGGAAGCCGAAAGGGCGAGTGCGCCCAAATCACATCCGGAGGAAGATGCATGATGTATGCCTCTTGGGGCCCTCTTTGGAGGCCTCTTGTGGCGTCTTGGAGGCCTCTTGGGCCATCTCGAGGCCCTCTTGGGCGTCTTAGAGCGATCGTTCGGCGGCTCGGGGCCCTTTTGGACCCATGGGAGGTTTCGGGAGGTCGCTTTGGGGGGAGGCACAGCGTCCACAGGAGGCGCAGAAAACACCACATAACTCGCGGGAACCAGACGGAAAACCCCAGAAAGGTCCGGGGCACGACTGGCCCAGGCCGTGACAATTCTCGTTGCAGAAGCAGCGCAGCGTCTACCTCTCAGTGCTGCGTAGCCTTGGGGCACTCCACTTCGTGCCAGAGGCGCGGTGCCCATTCGCCAGGCTGTTGGTTTGATCATCCCCGCCCTGGAGGATGGCCACGTCAGGACGGCATTTCTCCCATCATTGGGCCAATGGGTCAGGCGGAGAGGGAGGAGGATCAGTACAGTCAACCCGCCTAGTATGGATGAGCGACTTTCCAAGGTCACCCTAGCATCCTTCCCACTCGGCCCATCCTTCGTCGCTTTCGCTGGCCGCGCCCCGCTCGCAAACTGTCGACATGGCCTTCCAAGGCCCTTGCGTCCTTATCGTGCGTCCTTCTTATACGGGTTGATTGTAGCCACAGCGGCAACAGGATGGTGAGGAGCGGCGGCAGGATGGCACGGTGCTGGCCTCGAGTCCTCCCCGCCCGCGCCTCCGCAGCGGTCGCAGCGCGTGGATACACGGCGCTAAGACCACGGGGCCGACACATTTTTCTGTTGGCGTCGAGCGAAGGGGGGCCGTACAACCTCGAATGATCGTCGCCATGGGAGAACGCGGGCCCTGAGGGAACCGCGACCTGAGGTTTTGTCGTCGTTTCTGTCTTCGTGGGGCCCTTCGCGGGGCCCGGGGCCGTCAGAAAACGACGCAGGATGAAGATCTCGTGCTGGGGGAAGGCCCCAGGGTCCAGGACCCGCTTCCTTCAGCACCTGGCTCCCCCCTCTCTCGCGTACGCTTCTCAGGCCACGGTCTGCGAAACCCTTCCACCTCGACGCTCCCCTCTTGGACCGCCCCCGATCTCGTCGGACCCAAAGCACTTTTCTGGGACATGCTCCCACCCAGCGGCCCACACGCGATCCACCCGCTTCATTCGTGACCCACCCACAGTGCTTGGCGAAAACGTCGGCGCCAGCGGCAGGCTCGTTGCTATGCTTGTAAGGATTTGGCCCCTGCGGCGGTTTTTATTTCAGAGCCTCGCATACTGCCGACGTCCCCGCCGCCCCCCCCCAATCACTCTGATCCGCAACCGCGGGGTGCTACGGCCCTTTTCCTGGGACGTTTTTTTCCTGTTCCCGCACAATCTGTGTCCGGTGCGCGGCGCGAGGAAGAACGACTGCGAGAAGAGGATCGCCTTCGAGGAGCCTCGCGGCCCCGCCGCCGCTGCGCGAGGGCGCCCGGCGGCGGTCGCGGCCCACGCTGGAGGCTCCGAGCGCCGATGCCGGCGGCGACCCCTCTCGAGGGAGGAAACGCGCAATATCTCACGATCACCGTGGGGGGAACGGATCCCGAGGGAAACGGGTCTCGACGGAACCGGTCCTGATTATATATATATATATATTTATACACGATTGTTGTTGTAGCTGTTGTTCTTGTTGCTGTTGTTTTTGCTGTTGTTATGTTGTTATGTTGTTATTGTTGTTGCTGCTTTTTGTTGTTGTTCTTGCCATCGTCGTTGTTGTCGTTGTTGTCGTTGTTGTTGTTATTGTCGTTGTTGTTATTGTTGTTGTTGTTGTTGTTGATGTTGTTGTTGTTGTTGTTGTTGTTGATGTTGTTGTTGTCGTCGTCGTCGTCGTGGTTGTGGTTGTGGTTGTGGTTGTGGCTGTTGTTGTTGTTGAACATTATTACTTCTAAAGAATTATTATTGTTGGGACCCCTGGTGCACGACCCCCCCGCCGCGCCTAGGCCGCAGCCTCATTTTCATCATTTTCGTGAGGAAGTCTCAGGCAGAACGGGGGAGTCCGGATCCGGTTGTGTTGTTACGATCGGTTTTCCCTTGCAAAAGATAAGCTAAAGTGGACATTTCTTGCTCTAGCATAACCAAACTTCAAGAATCCCTTGCAAAAAATAAGGTAAAGTGGACATTCGCGCGCGCAAGACGAAATCCTTCCAAAACCTTAGTTTTCGTAGCGATTTTAACATAAAAACATCAAAAAACCAATGGTTTTTCAAAAAAAAATTGTCAAACTTTCATCCCGCGCGCTCTTGCGGATTCGTAGGAAACCCAACACTTTTTAAACATTTCTGTCAAACGGGCTTTTGCGAGCAACTTTTTCGAACTTCTGCAACAACGGTTGCGCACCTGCCAGGGCCATCATCCCTGTCAAATAATACCATGCGGGACACATTCGTTTTTTCTTCGCGCGCGCACGCCGTCGTCGTCGGCCGCGGGGCCCTGAATAGTAGCCACGGTCGTCCGCATGCCACGAAGTGAAGTGTCCGAACGTCATAGGGCGGGAAGCTGGGTGTGGGTGGTGGCGAAGAGTCGTTTGGAAATTTGGTAGAGCTTGAACCGGCCCCCCCACAAAGTGGGGGTATTGCCCGCCTCCTATGAAAACCCTGGCACTGGTGAGAACGGAGTGTCCCCACGTGCTAGTAATTGTTGTTGTTGTTGTTGTTGTTGTTGTTGTTGTTGTTGTTGTTGACACTTCATTTTTTAAGAATAAGTATTGTTGAGTCCCCCCATTGGTGCATATTGTTTTTTATCAATCAAAGTGTGCCCCTCGACGCTCGCACTTTGTTTTTTGTGAAGGAAAGTTTTGAGGCTCCAACTGGGTCCTTGGCCCCCGGGTTACAACAACAACGGCTCCCACATTGTACGTCCTCACAATTTAGCCAGGACCCCCGCTCCCGCCCGAGACTTCCTCGCATTTTAGCCAGGAGTCGCGCTCTCGCTTGGGACTTCCTTACAATTTATTGAGGAATCGCTCTCCGGGGGCTCTGGAGTCGCGCTTTCGCTGGAGATTTGCCTGCAATTCACTGAAGAATAACGCCCTTGCGTTGGATTTTTTTTTTTTTTTTTTTTTTTTTTTTTTTTTTTTTTTTTTTTTTTTTTTTTTTTTTTTTTTTTTTTTTTTTTTTTTTTTTTTTTAAAAAAAAATTTGCTCAAGCGCCGCGCTCCCGACACCCAGGCACCCATGAATCGCGCCCATTGAGGCCACATGTGCATGCCCTTCGTGGCCCCGTAGTCGTCTTTTGTGGCCCCCTCACTGTCCTACGTGGCCCAGTTGCTACCCTCAGTGGCCCCATCGTTGCCTTCTGTGGCCCCGCATTATCTGCCCTTCGTGGCCCCCGCTCGTTCGCGCTCTTCGTGGCCCCATACGCATTCCCTTCGTGTCCCCGCTGTCGCCCTTCGTGGCCTACTTCGTGTCCTTGGTGGCCCTGCTGTCGTTCTTTCTCGCTCTCGCTTTCGCTCGTCGTCGCCGTCGTCCTCGTCGTCGCCGTCGTCGTCGTCGTCGTCGTCGTCGTCGTTGTCGTGGTTGGTCCCTTGTCCGTCCCTCTTGGGGTCGGGTCGACGGTCCGCGGCCGCCCCGCCGATCAGCGCTGCGGCTGGCCAGGACGACGGTCCGCGGCCGCCCCGCCGCTTGCCGGGGCCCAGCCTGCAGGGGAGAAAATGCTTCCCAAAAGGGGTTCGATCGAATACGAAGAGGCCAGGTATCTAGGGTTTGGGAAATACGCGTTATCGGACACTCGAGCAGATAAGGGCGAACAGTCTTAAAATGATTGTTGTTGTTGTTGCTGTGGTTGTGGTTGTGATTGTGGTTGTGGTTGTTGTTGTTGTTGTTGTTGTTGTTGTTGTTGTTGTTGTTGTTGTTGTGGCCGTTTTTTTTCCTACCTAGGCTCTGCCTAGAAGGGTTCTTTCTCTCTTAGCTGAAAGGGCTGGGCAGTGGAAATCGCCCCGGGCGGTTCCCCCAGTCCCCTGGGAGCGGTTCCCCCCAGTCCCTGGGAGCTTTAGCTTTAGCTTTAGCTTTAGCTTTAGCTTAGCTTTAGCTTAGCTTTAGCTTAGCTTTAGCTTAGCGTTTCGCTTAGCTTTAGCTTAGCGTTTCGCTTAGCTTTTCGCTTAGCGTTTAGCTTAGCTTTAGCTTAGCTTTAGCTTAGCTTTAGCTTAGCTTAGCTTAGCTTAGCTTTAGCTTAGCTAGCTTAGCTTAGCTTTAGCTTAGCTTTAACTTAGCTTTAGCTTAGCTTTAGCTTAGCTTTAGCTTAGCTTTAGCTTAGCTGTAGCTTAGCTTTAGCTTAGCTGTTGCTCAGCTTTAGCTTAGCTTTAGCTTAACTTTAGCTTATATTTAGCTTAGCTTTAGCCTAGCCTTAGCTTAGCTGTAGCTTAGCTTTAGCTTAGCTGTTGTTCAGCTTTAGCTTAACTTTAGCTTAGCTTTAGCTTACTTAGCTTTAGCTTAGCTTTAGCTTTAGCTTAGCTTTAGCTTAGCTGTGGCTTAGCTTTAGCTTAGCTTTAGCTTAGCGTTACTGTTACTACTAATGCTGCTTTCCTAGGGGTTCCAACTCCTAGGTAGGGTCGCACTGGGATTTTTTTTTTTTTTCGCTTTGGACTCTCGGCGCCCTCCAACGGCTCCTGGACCGTCCGAAAAAAAAACTCTGGATGAAGAGCTCGTCCAGGGGGAAAGGCCCCAGGGTCCAGGGCCCGTTTCCCTCGGGACCCGTTCTCCCCTATGCCGAGAAGCCCACGAGCGGCGAACGTATATCGGTGCCCGCGCCCTCGCGGTCTGGATTCTGGGGCGCGATCCCGCGGATACGCACCACGGATGCGTTCCGCGCGGGGCGTCCGTATCCGCGGGGTCGCGGTCCGGGGGCCCGGCGCCGGAGAGAATCTCGCCATGAAGCGAGCGGGTCCTCTCTGAGTCAGACCTGTTTCTCGGACGCCGGGTGTCGTTCTGTAGCGCAATCGTCCCTGGCGGCCTCACGTTCAACCCCGAAGTAGGCTGCGGAACGGGAGGCAGAGGCTCTGGCGAGAAAGTTCGCGATGACTCCGCAGATGCATGAGGGCTGGCATCTGTATATATATATATATATATATATATATCTATATCTAGATCTAGATCTAGATCTATATATATATATATGTATGTCTGCGTGTATATAACACGGGTTGTGCGCAAATGCGAAGCTTGCTTTCGACCACCGTAGCATTTTTTTTCTGAATTCGTTGAAGAGGCTCGCCATGAAGCAAGCGGTTCCCGAGGAAAACAGGTCCGGAGGGTTCTCGTTGCTTTTGGGGCTCCCTGGGCCTTCCATCGGCCCCCGGACGGGAAAGAAAAACGACACAGGACGGATCGTTGGTCCTGCCTCTCCTCCTCCTCCTCCTCCTCCTCCTCCTCCTCCTCCTCCTCCCCCGCCTCCTCCTCCTCTTCCTCCTCCTCCTCCTCCTCCTCCTCCTCCTCCCCGCCGCCTCCTCCTCCTCCTCCTCCTCCTCTGTCCAGGACCCGATCCCCTCAGGGCTTGCTTCCTTCGTGCGAAGCAGAACGATGACCATGACAGGTGCTGCGAGATCTTGTTTATACCAGCCGTTGTAGATTCGCGAGGAGGACCCACGAATTGATGATTATCAAGGTGGACGATGTCCAAGATCGGCATCGGCGTTTCTAAGGTCAGTCCTGGTTGTGGTCCTCGTTTTCTTTCCCTCCATCCTCGTGCAGGCACTTGAGTGCGCGCGAGCAGATGCAAGTCTGCATCAGGCCACAGATGCTAGCCGGTCGTGGGAAGATTGGAGGTTCAGATGCTGATCTCGTTGGCGCGCCTCTTTCTCCAAATCCGAAGAACCTTGCTTTGTTCTTCCCTTCTCGGGCGAGGGCCGAAGCTCGATCTTTTGGAGCGTCTTCACACTTCATGTTTGTACCGACTGTGCCAATCTCTTCCGACCGCCATGCACGCACAGACCAATGTCGTTCATGTCCAACCTTAGGTCGGGCCTGCCTCCCTGCAGGCGGATTTTGGAAGAAAAATAATTACCCTGGCGACGTACCCTACCCCTGCGCAACAGCGGGGCGCAAATAGTTTAGGATACTTTATAAGGGGGCGATGACGGAGCGAGGGTTACATATGTCTGCAGACGGAATTCGGGAGACTCGCAGGACACTGGCTACAGGAAAAGGGCTTGATAAAGCTGATGATTTACAATTCCTGAGCACTCCTAGCCACTTCGAAAACGGGGATCACAGCAGGCCTCGAAAGTGGCGACAGGTTCGCAGATCGCAGCCCCCCAGGGATGGCGAGGTCTAATTTGAATCTGCCGTGGCCCTCACTGTGCTGGGCCCCCCAGCAGGCCTCGAAAATGGCGACAGTTTCGCAGATCGCAGCCCCCCAGGGATGGCGAGGTCTAATTTGAATCTGCGCGTGGCCCTCACTGTGCTGGGCCCCCCAGCAGGCCTCGAAAATGGCGACAGTTTCGCAGATCGCAGCCCCCCAGGGATGGCGAGGTCTAATTTGAATCCGCGCGTGGCCCTCACTGTGCTGGGCCCCCCAGCAGGCCTCGAAAATGGCGACAGTTTCGCAGATCGCAGCCCCCCAGGGATGGCGAGGTCTAATTTGAATCCGCGCGTGGCCCTCACTGTGCTGGGCCCCCCAGCAGGCCTCGAAAATGGCGACAGTTTCGCAGATCGCAGCCCCCCAGGGATGGCGAGGTCTAATTTGAATCTGCCCGTGGCCCTCACTGTGCTGGGCCCCCCAGCAGGCCTCGAAAATGGCGACAGTTTCGCAGATCGCAGCCCCCCAGGGATGGCGAGGTCTAATTTGAATCCGCGCGTGGCCCTCACTGTGCTGGGCCCCCCAGCAGGCCTCGAAAATGGCGACAGTTTCGCAGATCGCAGCCCCCCAGGGATGGCGAGGTCTAATTTGAATCTGCGCGTGGCCCTCACTGTGCTGGGCCCCCCAGCAGGCCTCGAAAATGGCGACAGTTTCGCAGATCGCAGCCCCCCAGGGATGGCGAGGTCTAATTTGAATCCGCCCGTGGCCCTCACTGTGCTGGGCCCCCCAGCAGGCCTCGAACATGGCGACAGTTTCGCAGATCGCAGCCCCCCAGGGATGGCGAGGTCTAATTTGAATCTGCCGCGGTTACCCTCTATGCAGGACCCCCCAGCAGGCCTCGAAAGTGGCGACAGTTTCACAGATCGCAGCCCCCCAGGGATGGCGAGGTCTAATTTGAATCTGCCGCGGTTACCCTCTATGCAGGACCCCCCAGCAGGCCTCGAAAGTGGCGACAGTTTCACAGATCGCAGCCCCCCAGGGATGGCGAGGTCTAATTTGAATCTGCCGCGGTTGCCCTCTATGCAGGACCCCCCAGCAGGCCTCGAAAGTGGCGACAGTTTCACAGATCGCAGCCCCCCAGGGATGGCGAGGTCTAATTTGAATCTGCCGCGGTTACCCTCTATGCTGGACCCCCCAGCAGGCCTCGAAAGTGGCGACAATTTCACAGATCGCAGCCCCCCGCAGGCAAGACAAGAAGAGGCGGGAGGCGGGAGAAGGGAGAAGGGAGAAGGGACGCGACCACACTGCTCTATTCAAAACGAATACCCAACCAAGGAGGGTTTGGAAAAATAGCCCAAACATATTCAACAATAGGCAAACATAGTAGAAAAATAGCCCCCAGACTATTTTTGACTATTTTGAACAGTTCTCCTGTAGAGGGACATGCCCGACTTCAGTCGAGCCTTGGTTTGCAGGTGTGCTCGCAGCCGTGTATGTGCGCGAGCCAGCGTGCGTACATTCTCCTTGATGCCCGCAAGTGTGTCCGCGCATCTTTCGCTGTCACAGGTGTGTACTGCGCGAAGGCAGCGTGCGCGTTTGCACGCAAGGACGCGCACCGGCGTTCGTTGCACGTGGCATCTGCGAGCTCGCACTTGTTGCGCACTCGCGATCTACTGCTTCGCCCTCCCCCAACACACTTCTCTCTGCGGCCAAGGATCCTCCGGAGGTGCTCGTGATTCACATCAAGAGGTCCGCCCGTCCGATCTTTTATCCCTTGTCACGTCTTATCATCTCGACTGGTGGAGCACCCGCTAGAGCTTAATCTATGTATCAGATATATCCACATGCATATATGCACATACACATACACATCTTTATACATACATGTTTACCAGCGCGGGCCCCAAAGAGTAAGTTATCGTACCGTGGACGCGTGAGCTACGTGGTGCAAGCTATGTGGCGAGGGATGCGGCAGTGAGGCGGCAACGAGGCGGCAGCATGGCACCAGCCGGGCACCAGCCGAAAGCTCGACACACCCACCCAGCTCTCGAGGCGACAAAAAGGCGGCAACTAGGCGGCACCAACCGGGCACCAGCCGAAACCCTGACACACCCACCCAGCGCGCGAGGCGGCAACGAGGCGGTACCAACTGGGCACCAGCCGAAACCCCGACACACCGATCCAATTCGTTAGTAACGCAAAGAAGAAGCCCGAAGTCCTTCTACTGTTTCGGGAATGTTCCTTGTATCGATCTTTCTCCCCAGCTCGGCAGTGTTTTCGCATGCTTGGCAGGCAGTGGTCCGCAGCCGAAAGAGCTCTTTACTGGGTTCTGCCCCGTCCATGGAGAGCGGCCCGAACAGAGGCCAATCCACTCGCGGGGCTTCCTCTGGGCCAGGGCCACCGACGACGTCCGCGGGCGTCCGCGAGGGGAGGAGCCACAAGAACGGACAGAGGCAATGCTCGGGCCACTTTCAAGGCTCGGGAAGGTTTACGACTTGGTGATGGGACGCGCAACTGACCGCCGTTTATGGAGAGGTGGAGTGCGAGAACCCATTCCACAACGTTGGATGGATAACGCGCGCCCAACACAGAGCCTTCTGGAGAAGCTCCGAAGAGGCTTTCGCTAATGCGTGATTGTTTCACTGAGCGCTTTGATCACGATTTATGGGGCTCTGCAGTTAGCATGGCCAAGCCTGTGGTGGTCTCATTCACGAGGTCTGTATGTGATCAGAAAAAAGAACTTCCATGGAACGGACAGGGGCGCGCACACAAATGTTGGAGAAGGCGATTTCGGTGGCGGCAACGAAGGGGGTGATGACTTGTGGGGGAGTATCATGGCCGGGGCCATGATTTTCCCCCGATCTCATGCCCCCCCTTTTTCTTCACACGACCCCTGGTCCCACCCTGGGCAGCGCACGTGGTGCCATGATTTGTGACCCCCGCTCTTGGACGCCTCCCTCTTGGACGCCCTCGACGATTGCGCTCGCTGTTTCGCCAGGCGTCTGTGGGGCACCACAAGAACGGACAGAGGCGCGCAAAGAAAGAATGGGTAAGGCGATTGCGGTTGCTGTTTCGCCAGGGGTTCTTGGAGCACCACAAGATCGCACGGGGGCGCACAACGGAACATAGGGGAAGGCGTTTGCGCTCGCTGTTTCGCCAGGGGTCTGGGGGAGCACCACAAGATCGCACTGAGGCGCGCAAAGAAATATTGGGGACAGCAGTTGGCGCTCGATGTTTCGCCAGTGGTTTCTCGTCGGAGCGGCAAGAAGTGGAAGAACCATTCATTCTTTAAGGTCAGCGTGGATTTCTTGCGTCGGTGCTGGGCCAACCTCCCCACACCGCTTCCCCGGCGTGCGTGGTGCACCAGGTGTCGCACTGCTTCTCCTTGTCCTCGTTTCCCCCGTCTTGCCTCTCTTCCCCTGTACACTTACACATTCTGAATACGACTCGCCCCTCCGCCCTCTCCGCGTATTGTTTCTTCACAGAATTGGGCAACCATGGTCTTTCCCAGTTTTTTTTGTAATCCGATTGTTCGGTGTTTCGAAACGGTGTCCCCGCTGCAGCGGGGGCCTTATTTTCGGATCAGCGTGGTGCTCCCGTTGTTCAGCATGGCCCTCTCGGTCCAGCGTGGGACACTTTTCTGGATCCGAGTCCTTCCTCATCGTTGTGCCCCCCCTCCTTTCTCCTCCTCCGCCTTCCCCGGATTCTCCTGCTCCTCCGCTCCTTCCACTCCAGTTCCGCTGCTGCTATTCGTCCTTGTTCTCCTCCTCCTCCTCCTTCATCATCCTCCCTCTTTTACTCCTGCTCAGCTCCTCCGCCTTCCCCTGGTCCTCCTGCTCCTCCCGCTCCTTTTATTTCACTCTAGTTGTGAAGCTCCTCGCCCTAGTCCTCGTCCTTCCTCGTCCTCCTCCTTTTCCTCCTCCTGTTTCCTCCTGCACGTCCTCCTGCTCACCCGCCACCTCCTCCTCCTGAGTGCGCAGCTCCCCTTTTTCCGATTGCGCACCACACGATGGTGTCTTCTCTTGAGGTCCAGGTTGAATATTTTCTACGCGCCAGCGGCTCGAGCAGCCATCGGCGCAATGGGAAGGGACAGGAGGGAGGGGTAGGACGTCAGTCCTGGCGCGAGCGCACCTCGCCTGCCTCCTCCCCCCTCGCCCCTCTCCCCTCGCGGCTGCCCCCCTCGCGAGTGTCTCCGCCGATCTCCCCTGGGCATGGACCCGGCTTCTCCGTGCTGCGTGAGCTGGCCCGGCCCGCGCGCGCCCGCACGACTCGACTTGCGCCGCGCCGCCGCGCGCGTGGCCGCGACGCCGAGAGTGTGCCCCCCTTCCCCGGGATGGGCGCCGCGCGCCGCTTTGGTTGCTCTGGTGACGCCTCGTCGGCATGGTTGGCTGCAACTGCCCCTGCGTGCGTCCAGCACTCTCTGTGTCTCCGGCTGCTTCGAGGTTTCTGCCCTGGGACCTCTCGCGGATGCCTTGGCGATCCACCACAGTGCAAAGCATCAGACGTAATGAGGTGATGCTGGTGTGCGGCCGTACGCGCCCGGAGCGCGTCTCTCACAGGGTGCCGTATGATGCGAAGGACGCGGGCATTGCATAGTGCGCCGCTCCATGGATCATTGGATGTGCCATTGCGGCCAAGTCAAGACAGTGCGAGCAACAGAGATACATACATGTAGGTATACATGTATACAAGTACACGTGCATAGACAGACTCTATACGACCTTTTGGGACTATACATTTTTCATCGCAGACGCCTATGGCGAATCCCCGCCGCCCCACTGCCTTTCTGGCAACTGCCGATGTGGCCACACGTTGGGCCAACGCTTGGCCAAACTATTGAACTACGTGCTCCCTCAGCCGTTGTGGAACCCCGAGGGGGAACAGTTGGGGACACTAACAAAGTGGAAGAGGAGGAGGGGGGGGAGGAGGATGAGGAGGAGGAGTAGGAGGAGTAGGAGGAGGAAGAGGAGGAGGGAGGAGGAGGAGGAGGAGGAGGAGGAGGAGGAGGCAGGAGGACCAGGCGGCCTTCTTTGGCCCTCGTAGGGCCTCCTGGCGGCTTCCTGGTAGCATCTTGGGGGACGCCTCTTGGGGGGCTTCTTAGGGTTTCCTGCGGGCTTCAACGGGGCCTCCCCGTCTTGGAGCCTGTCTTGGGGGCCCCTCTGGGCCGTCGTGGGGCAAACTTTGGGTACCTTCAGGGCCGTCTTCGAGGTCTTGGACCCTCCTGCGGCCTTCTTCGGGGGGCAACCTTGGGCCGCCGTTGAGCTCTCTGTTGTGAGGGCTCGTTGGGCCGTCTCGGATCCTTGTTGGGGGGTCTTGGGCCGTCTTCATTAAGGCTGCCTTGGGCCGTCTTGGTACCTTCCTGGACAATCTTGGGCTTTACGACTGGGACCTTGTTTGGCAGTGCCCAAGGCTTTTGGCGTCGTCGTGTGCGGCAGGCCAGGCCGGCAAACTTGGGGTCTAGGCCCGTGAGAGTGAGAGAGTGCTTCGATGCCCCCAGCACTTGGCACTGTATGCGCCTTGGGGCGCTCCGCTTCGTGCTCAGGGCGCGGTGCGCTTCGTGGTGAAGGCACGGTGGCGGATCTGTACGCTGACACATGCACGTGCTTCAGATACCTGCACAAAGCACATGTACATGTATATACACACTTGCACTATGTATGTGTGTATGAACACATCTATATAATCAGATCTCTTTATTTATATATATATGTACACACATGTAGCCATGGACAAGCATTGCTGCCCAAAACCACGACCCCGAATCTCCAATTCGGCCCCGGCCGCTGAAAGATGCCCCCGAGTGCACGAGTGAGCGACAGGGGACTCCACGGGCCAGCCTCGACGCCTTTCAACACGGGTGAAGACAGCTAAATGTTTTTGTCAGCGCCCCCTGGATGGGCCCATGGGACCCTGACAGGATCATTGGAAGGCGCCCGAGAGACAAGCATCATTGTTATTCTCTTTGCTTTTCAATGACTGCGGGGGGTGATGCTTGTCCAGTGCTCAGAGCGCACGATTCAGCCGAGAAGGCCCCTAGAAGTTCTCCGACACAGCCCGGAAGACCCACTGAAGAATCCCAAGAGGCGCATAGGATTGGCCGGGAGGGCCCCACGACGCCCCCCAGCGCAAAAGGTCCCCAAGAGCGCGCTCGTGGCGCGCTTCTCACTAAAAGGGGGGCCCCAGCTTGAAGATCTTCCCCCCTCCCTTGGAAAGGAGGGGGGGGCTTCCGAAGCTACCCCCCCCCTCCCTTCCTTCTGAGGGCATTTCGGATGTAGGAGGGCCCTAGCTACAGGGGGGGAGGCTTCCAAGCTACTCCCCCCCTTCTCTTCCGGAGCCCAAGGTCAGCCCGGGCTCCTCTTTCAAAGGAGGGGGGGCTTCCGAAGCTTTCCCCCCTCCTCTTTGTTTGCATTTTGTAGCTGGGAGGTGCCTGGCTAAAAGGGAGGGGCTCGGAAACTACCCCCCCTCTCCTCCTTCTCGGGGCCCGGGGTAAGCCTGGGCTCCCCTTCCCATAGGAGGGAGGGCTTCCGAAGCTACCCCCCCCTCCCCTCCTTCGGTTGGCTTTTCAAGCGAGAGGGCCCTGGCTGAAGGGGGGGGCTTCGCAGCTTTTTTTCTTCTTTGAATTTCGACGCCTCGTTGGTGTTCGGTGTGCTTGTGGTTTTCGGCATCTCGTTGGTTTTCGGCGCCTCGTTGCTTTTCGGCGCCCCTTTGGCCTTTGGCGCCCCTTTGGTTTTTGGCGCGCCTTTGGTTTTCGGCACTCCTGTGGTTTTCGGCGCTCCTTTGATTTTTCGGCGCCTCTTTCTGGTTTTCTGCACACCGTTTGGTTTTCGGCACATCGTTGATGTTCTGTGCCTCCTTGGGTTCGGCGCCCTCTTGGTTTTCGGCGCCCTCTTGGTTTTCGGCGCCCTCTTAGTTTTCGGCGTTCCTTTGGTTTTCGGCGCTATTTGTTTTGTTCGGCGCCTTTTTAGTTTTTCGGCGCCTTTCGGCTTTCGGCGCCCCTCTCGTTCTCGGTTATCGGCGCCACTTCGGTTCTTCGGTGTTTTTTTGGATTTCGACGCATCGTTTGTTTTCGGCGCCCGTTTGGTTTTCAGCGACCCTCCTTAGTCTTCGGCGCCGCTTTGGTTTTCGGCGCCCCTGTGGTTTTTGGGGCGCTTTGGTTTTCGGCGCCCTTTTTGTTTTCGGCACACTGTCTGTCTTCGGAGCTTCTGTTGTTTTCGGCGCCCCTCTCGTTTTCGGAGCCTTTTTTGGATATCGGCGCCCCGTCGGTTTTTCGGCGCCCTTTTGGTTTTCGGCGCATCGTTGGTTTTCTGCGCCCCTTTGGTTTTCGACTTTTTTTTTGGGGGGGGGGGGGGGTCGGCGCCCCTTGGGTGTTCGGCGCCTCTTTGATTTTCGGCGCCCTCTTGATTTTCGGCGCGCCTTTGGTTTTTGGTATCCTGCTGGTTTTGGGCGCTTTTTTTTGGCGCATCTTGGGTTTCCAGCGTCCCTTTCACAGTCGGCGCTTTTATTAGTTGTCGTCCTCCTTTTGGTTTTCTGCGCCCCCGTGGTTTTCGGCGCCCCTTTGATTTTCGGCGTCCTTGTGGTTTTCGGCGCCCCTTTGGCTTTCGGCGCTCCTTTGGTTTTCGGTGCCGTTTTGGCTGTCGGTGCCCTGTTGGTTTTGGCGCCCTTTTTGTGTTTGGAGACTCTTTGGTTGTCGGCTCCCCATTGTTTTTCGACGCCCCTTTGGTTTTCGGCGTCCTTATCCTGTTCGGCGACCCTTTGGTTTTCTGCGCCCTTTCGGGTTTCGGCGCTCTTTGGTTTTCGGCGCCCTTGTCGCTGCTCACCCACATCTATGTGTGTGTATATATATAGACATATACACAAAAATATGTATATAGAGAAAAAGGTAAAACGTTTTAGCGAGCACACGTACTCAAGTTGTTAGCGCTTACACGTATCAGCGAGTGTAAAGCCTCTTCGTGCAGCTCAGCGCCAGAGGGCCCGCGCGCAGTTTGGATCACCTCAGCCACCCGAGTATGATGATGATGAGGAACCGGAGTAGGAGAAGGCGGAGGAGGAGGACCAGTGGATACCCAAGGCGCATCAACGATGGTGCAATCCACCCTCCCTCCAAGTTCTCTCTTCCTTGACTTCTACAAGAATTTGTCTGAATTGCGGGAAGCACCCCATTTGAAGACAGCCGTTTGATAGTCTCCAACCGTGGGACTGCAACGCCGCAAATCAAAATGATGGGTTTGTCCTGACACTCTGTACATCGTGCCAGAAAACGATTACTGTGGCTTCGTCGGCGAACCAACGTGACCGTTTCGTTCCGATGGGCTTTCACCGTACCAGAACACCATTCTTGGGATTCCAGTCACACGAATCCTCAAGTCTGTTGCAGGCTTCAGGACGACTGTGCGCGGTGCCCTCGTCCGGCCTCCTGGAGGCATGTCGGAAGCTATCTTGAACCATGGTCGGCTATTTTGAGCCATCTTGGATGCCATCTTGGAGCATGGGACGGCCTCTTGGAGCCATCTTGGGCCATCTTGGGAGCCCTGACACTTCGCGGCCCGCCCATACAAAAAAATCAGGGAGGGGAGTGGGGGGCACCCCTTTCCGAGGGAAGAGGGTTTTTTTCTGGAAGAGGAAGGAAAGAACTCGTTAGACCACCTTGGCCCAAAAGGCTGGTGGGACTTCAGGCTTCAAGATCAGACATGATGGGGAAGTCTCAGGCGAAACGCCTGGCTCGCCCTACTGACACGTCCGGGGGTGTGACAGTGGGGAGTTGTTCATACGGAGGCAGGATGGAGGAGGAGGAGACACGGGTGGATGAGCATGGTAACGCGATGCCAGGGCGTGGGCCCAGCCGAGCTTGGAGGTGGTGCGCAGATGCAGGTTTCCAGTTTCCAGGTGTGTGCGGTCAGAGTCGGAACCATCGTTTCTCCCTCGGAGTATCCTCCCTCGTCTTCACCTTCGTTGCTCCTCCTTCTCCTCCGAAGTTTCCCGATCTCATTCGTTGTTCCTCCGTCTCCGTCTGTACCCGATCTCCTTGCGAGGTTCCGCTACGACGCGGGCTGGTTCAATGGGACCAAGAACTCGAGAGTGGTCACCTTCCCGGTCACCAGGCTGGCAACCCCACCTCTTTTTTGGGTCGCTCGACCGCCTTTCTGAGAGGCCCCCGTTCACTGCACCCTCCAGTCCTCCCCCTTCCCCTCCTCCCCCCTCCCCCCCCGGACATCCAACCACGCCCTCCCCCTCGAAAGTGGTCACCCTTCCGCTTGCCAGGCAGGGCCGCCCACGATCCTATTCGTCTCGATTCGATTGCAGGCTGGGGCCGCAACTCCGATTCGATTCACTGTGACTGCGGTTCGATTCACCAGAATCGGCTGTGCCAGCCAGAGCCAGGCGCGGCGATTTGATGCCGATTCCACTCGAAACGCGGTCCACCCTTGCCTCTTTGCTCCAACGGTCCAGCTTTCGAAGCTCCGCGCGAATTGGATGGATTGGCGCGGGGTACCTCTCGCGGCGCCTCTGGCGCGCGCAGCGCGCCAGAGAGGCGGGTCCAGTGCCGATCCTGGAAATCCGTGCGGTCTTCCGGGGTTAATGCTTTTTTTGCATCCTCATTCCACGTTGGAGGAGATCGAGGGGGGGCGGGGGGAACATTGGACTGGCGGCCGTTTTATCGTGGGACTCCCCCGCTCGTTCCGGTTCCTTCCTCGGTCTCGCTCTCTTTGTCGTCTTGCGGCCTTTTCCCTTGCACATGCTTCTGCTTCAACCTCGTCCGTTTCGCACGATGACGTGCCCAGGGGTCGTTCCGAACTTTTGGGCTACACTGCCGCGAGGGAGTGTTAATTGTCGGAGTCTTCTTCTTCAGCTGAGGAGACAATCGCGCTGTCGTGCCACACAGTTGATTAAGGTCTCCCCTGGACCCCCTTGGGTCCCCGCCCGGGACCCCCCCTCTCCCCCTGGCGGGGAAGGGACAAAAGGAAGGGGCTTCCCTTCGACGTGATTGCGACATTGTTCGATCCCCTTTGCGTGTTCGATCTCCCGTACGTCCACGATTCAAAGGAGGCTGGCGTGCTTCAGTTTGGGTTGGATTGGCCTCGCGTCGAATGGCCTCTCACACACGCCGTCTGGGTCGGCGGATTCGTCCCGGGAAGTTTCGGGACGTTTCGGGAGCTCTGTTGGCCATCGTAACTCGTATGGAAGGCATGTGCAAACGATGCACGTCCCATGCTCAGAGATATCAGCGAGAGCAGCTCCTCCGTCTTTCTCGTCCTTCTGCTTCATGTCCACATTGTCTTCTTTCCTTTTCCTCGTCCTCCTCGTTCTCCTTCTCCTCCCTCTCCTCCTCCTCCTCCTCCTCTTCGTCTCCTCCTCCTCCTCCTCCTCCTCCTCCTCCTCCTCCTCCTCCCCTTCGCCTTCCTCAACCCCTTCGCCCTCCAACTTCCCTTTGCCTTCCTCCCTTTCCTCCTCCGCCGCCGCCTCCTCCTCCGCTTCCTCCTCCTCCTCCTCCTCCTCCTCCTCCTCCTCCTCCTCCTCCTCCTCCCCCCTTCGCCCTCCGCCCTTCTCCTCTCTCCGCATCCCTGGTCTCGTTGCGTGCAGAGTGGAGGCAGCTGGACATGTCTCCCTACCTGGACGGCCCGACGAATAGGTCGGCCGAGTACAGGCCCACGCCGCCAGGGGGTGAGCGAGGGCGGGGGCGGAGCGAGGGTACGCACACTGGAGTCACTCCCCCGCACCGGAATCCCCCCCCCGGAGAAGGCGGATGATGGAGGAGAGGTAAGGGGGGTTGGGAGGAGGAGGAGGAGGAGGAGGAGGAGGAGGAGGAGGAGGAGGAGCAGGAGGAGCAGGATGTATGCAGGAAGTGTGGAGTTTTGGGAACCGCTGCTTTTTGGAGTTCTGGGAACTTTGATCCTGTTGCCCGCTTCCCCGCGGAATCCCTGCAGTGCAGAGGACGAGTGTCCAGGGGAAGGGGAGGGGGGAGAGGGGAGGGAGCAGGGGTGGGGTGGGGAGGAGCGGTTGCTGGAGCTGCAGGAAAGCAGCGGGATGGACGTGTGATGTGGGCGAAGGGGCGGGAGGTGGCGGCAAATGCGGACGGGGCAGGGAGGAGTTGGTCACCACCCACCAAGCCACCCCAACCCAACCCGCATGCCCCAGTTTGCCCTCCATTCCCGGTGGGGGGACGCCGGGGAACATCGAGAAAAACCCATGCGGAACTCGTGCCCCCCCGAACCCGAAAGTTGGGTCTTTGGGTTGGGTTGGGGTGGCCTGGTAGGTAGTCAGTTGGGGGGACGGGCCCCCGAAGGGGCCTCTGGGCGCCGCCGCCGCCGCTCGCCCTCGCCTCGGGAGGCCCAGCGGCCCAGTGCGCGGGTCGAGGCGGTGTCCGGCGGCGGCGAGGGGCGGGGTGGTGGGTGCGCGCGAGCGGGCGGGTCGGGACGGTGTCCAGCGGGGGCGGGGGGCGGGGAGGAGTGGAGAGGATGGCGCTGAGTATGGTGATGCTGGTGGTGGTGGTGGTGATGACGATGACGATGACGATGACGATG